GCTCGTGATGTTCGCGTATCGGATGGATGAAAGTTACTGGCGCCCGTGAAGCGCGCGGTGGGCATGGCGAGATCAAGCCAGGGAGAAATACATATATATATATATATATATAACGATCTGCTAGCCACGCGCCGTCGAGAGAATGGTCAGGCGCGCGCCTGGGATGATGCGCGTTGAAACGAGCTCGATCCAAAGTTAACCATCGCAGCGCATCGGGACAGTTCAGGACGCGCGGGGTGCACAGGAAAGTTGAAAGGGGGGCGCGTTGGGCAATGGCAGGCAGTGGGCCGATAGCCACAGGATGGATTGATATTTGCCAGGGAGACAAGCGCAGCGCAGATCACCGACCCGGACTAGTGGCCCAACATATTATATATATCTATGTAATTCCAAGGAGAAGAACAATGTTGCAGCCGCGCCTCCGCTGGAGGTGCAGACATTTGTTCGACGGCTCTAACAGAGGGAGTCGGATTTATCGTGGGCGAGCGCGAGAAGGGCTTCAAGCTGGGGTTCATCGACGCTGAGCGAGCTTACTTCGACGCCCCCGCACGACGGGACATATCGCTTCAACTTCCCGCGGGAAACTCAGGCGCTCGCGGCAGGTTTTTTGATCAATGCATGGAACAAGAGATGCTGCCAGCAACTGGGAGGATTGCCGCGTGGATTTTGCGAGATCGGTCGGGTGTACCAGGCCACTTGTATCCTGGCACAAAAAGAGAAGAATTGGGTTCACCGTGCGCGGGGGCGATTTTCCCTTGCGGAGCAGCGACTTCGACTTCGACTGGTCCGATACCAAAACATAGCAGGCGTTTGACGCGATGGCGCGGAGGGGTTGAAGCCTGGGGAGGAGGGTGAGAGAACAATATGGGCATTTAGCAGGGTTGTCGAGCGTGCGCACGGTCGCTCGCGGGATGAGCTGATCAAAGGCGCGCGGAGGGACTTGCGAAAGGAGCTGGGACTCCATGGGAGGCAGGCAATGGCTGAGACGCCAGGGGAACACCTACCCGCTGATGAGGGAGATTCGGAGGAGTTGTCACTGAGCATGTCTAAGCACAGTCAGGCAGTGACTGCGGGGGCATACTGCTTTGTCCAGGATCGATCGGGACTCCAGTTCTCAGTCGCAGAGTTGACCGCAAGTATGGCAGAGTCCACAGTGGGCTCCTGGGCGCGCTTGATTAAACCAGGTAAGTCTCTCTCGTCGCACGATGGATCGGGCTGCATGTGCGCGTGCTGGGACAAAGCGAGTGAGTTGACGGCGTGGGCAGACGCGGACTGTGCCGGGCTGTCGAAAACGAGGAAGGCAACGAGTGGAATATTAGTGATGTGGGGGTCTCATCTCATTCAAGATTGGAGCGCGGCGCAGGGCGTCGTGGCGTGGTCGCCGGGAGAGACAGAGCTGCATGTAATTGTGGAGGGAGCATATGTTGGATTGGGTTCACAGTCAGTTCTGAGAGTGTTCTAGGTGGGAAGCAGCATCGCGATTAACAGTCATGCCGCTGCTGCCATGGCGATAGCACGCAGAAGAGGGCGGCGTAAAGTGCGACATGCTGCGGCGCGTCATCTGCTTCCGCGAGGGAGAGTGAGGGATTGAGACATTAACGTGGTGAGGTTCGGCACGCACGACAACGCTGCAGATGCATTGACCAGATGCATGAGCAAGAGTGTCATGGGCACGCGTCTGGAATTTTGATTCATCAGACGGCGCGCGAGGGCAGGCGCAGCTTGGCGCCTGCAACGGAACGTCCGCATTTGCAGCCATTTCGGCTAACCTTGGATTTAATAAGGAACTGTGTTCACGATTGCCATGTAATTACTCCGTTCTCTTGTCCACAGGTCTGGTGGACTGCGAAGCGCGCGAACCCGCGCCTTCGTCGAAGGCGTCGACAAGGGCGGTGCCGCGTTCGCCCAAAACGCCGACGCGGCCATGGCGCATTGCGTCAACGAAGTGGGGCGCCTCGCCAGCGGGCTGGATCTGTCAGCGACGAGATCGTGAAAGGACGGGGTCGGACGGGCAGGAACATCATGGTTCTCACCCGTGCCAACGAAGAACTCGCGTAACAGAGTGAGAGCTTGGCGGCCCAGTTATGCGCGAGTATCTTAATCTGGAAGTTGAGGCGGAAGCCTTTGACGAGTCGGAGAAGACCGCGGAAAGTGAGCGCGCGCTTGAGCGCCCGCGGGCCGCGGGCAACATCGAGTCTCGTCGCGCGCAGGTGGGGGTGGCGCGCGAAATTATTGTCGCGCGACTGCCAGAGCCCCCGCATCTGATCTTAAAGACCCAGGCGGGAGTGATTACCGACCGATTAAAGAAGGTGCTAATGCGTTGCGCAGTCCAACTTGTCAACGCCGCGCCGACGTGCCGACGGTTCCAGCAGGTGCGTGGCGCGTAGAGGTCGCCGAGCCTCGCTCTGTGCATCGACAGCCGTCGCGCAACAATACTAGCGCTCCACCTGCTCCACCGGCGGCCCCGACAACTCAAGCGGCTCCGAGTCCGACTGTTGCCGCGGGCGGCAGCCGCGGCTGTGGAGGGCTGCAGCTCTGGTTCTCGCTCCACCCACTCTGCCAGCGGCTCCGGCTTTTCCAGCTGCTCCGAGTCTAAATATTACCGCTGGCGGCAGCAGCCGCGGCGGGGGACCTACCGGCCCGGCGGGGGCCCTTGCGCCCGGTGGAACAGGGGGCGTTAAGGGCCAGAACAACCAGCGCAGCCAGCTGAGACGACCACTTGATCAGGCGAGAGAACAGTTACCAAGGTCAATGTGGAAGCGCGTCGGCGATGTCATGACAGGCCGCAACAATCGTGAGGTTGACGATGCCGGCGTGCCGGCCAATAGTATCTTCGGGATGCCCAACTTGAACCAATTGCTCGCCTGCGCAGAAGGATCGTAATTCCTCGACTTGGGGAACGCGCGCTACAATTCCAATTCCCGGGTCGAACCGGAGGATCTTCATTGGCATGCAACGGCAGTCAGGTATGTTTGGCGTTATTGGCGCGGAGGGTGGCAGGGCGAGGCCGAGGTCAGGCCGTTCAACATCGGCGATGTGGCCTACTACCCTAACGTGACCCAGCATCAGAATGGTGAGTGCATCTTTGGCCATTGCCGAATGAAGTTCCCAGAGGCCACCTCATCTGGCACGACTCCCTTCTGCATTGCCTCACATTGGAACGTGAACGTTAGGTAGCCGAGGCCACGCGCCCGCAGTCGATGTTGCCAGGGGGTTGCCGCGGAGCCACAGATCGCCAAATGCTTGACGAGGCTTGGATTCATTGGGATTCAGTGCAGGACACTCATGCGCGCGTCGGGCTATTACCCGAAATTCAGAGCCTCGAGCTGAACGACGTGCTCTTAAAGCGGTTCGACATGCTCTGGCCGGGGAATTGCACGATCGTGGCCGTCGGCATTTTTGCGGAGGACTCCATGGCGAACCATGGAGAGATATTGACGGGCACGGCGGCAATGAGGGTCATCACCGAGGGACTGGCGCAAGCCTTCATTAATGTGGCGGACGGACACCCCATTCACTACAAGCAACAAGCAGCATCCTGCTCATTAGCGCACGAGTCTCGATGACCAAGGGGTGCAGCACATTTCGGAGCAACGCCCTTCGGAATGGCACAGCACCGCGCTTATCGTGAGACCGACCGTCCATAACAAGATGATGGGGGATGAGCGATCTAGTTCCCCGCGCCGAGAGCCTTGATTGGCTGGCATGGCTCGCGTCTTGCGATTTCGATCAGTGGGCAATTGACAAAGAGCAGTGGTTAGTTGACCCAAAGAGCGACTGCGATTACCTGAAGAACGAGCAAGTCGATCCGACTTTGGCACCTTGCCTCTGCGCCCCAGATGCGTCTGACTGGTCAGCCTTGGACAATTACCGCCCCTGCGCAGACAGTGCCATTCGTCAGAGGGGCTGGGGATGCTCGATTAACGGGGAGGACAGGGCCCAAGCGTACGACGACGCCATGTACACGAGCCACGCTCAGCGAGAACGCCGCAGCCGACGTTGCGGTTCGAGTACGCTTGATCGCCACACCGCGCAGAGGCAGGCGGGAAGGGCAGTTTTGCGGCTACGGAGGCGCTACAATATATGATTAGTTATCGTTTTCAGACTGTTCCCATTTCTCTTTCCTTATCTCTCGAGCATAGGTGAGAGCGGCTCGTCGCCCGACTGGTTCACTTTTGGAGAGCGCTGGTTCATGAAAGCGAAAATGGCCATACTCATTCACGCTCGTTCCCCGTATAATGTTTAAGACTATTTTTTCCGCGCGCTACGCACGTCCGGGTATTAACGACCATTCGAGCTGGCACTGCCAATGCACCGACGCCAGAACTTATGTCCCGCGCATTGGAACCCCATCGCCGTCATAGTACATCATTAGCACGTTCCCCGTTGCTCTGGCGGCTGTGTCAGCCGAGGGAGGGCGTTACAGCATGCAGCGGCAACTGGGGAAACAGGCAGCGCAGAGTTGAGGTCAGATGGTCGTTGTTGCTATCGCCGTTCGGCTCAAGCGAAAACAAGCGCGCGCTACTACTCTGAATCCTTCTGGACTTTGCAGCGGCAGCAGCTTGAGGAGGACGAGCAGCGGTGGCGGCAGTGGTGGCTCTGCAACGACCGACGGCAGACGACGCGACGCCTACAACGCCGACGCCGCCGCCGACGAAAGCGACGCCGCGCGACGACGACGCTTACGACGACGATCATGACGCCCACGTCGACGACGACGACCACAACGACGACGACGACAACGACGACGACGACGACCACGACCGCGACCACGACCACGACGACGAGGACCACGACAACGACCACGTCGGCGGCCATGATCACGACGACGACCACGACCACGACCTCGACCACGACGTCGGCGACGACTACGGCGACGAAGATTTGGACGACGGCGATGACGAACACGACGACGACGACGACGACGAAGGCGACGGGACGACGACGACGGTGACGACGACGAAGGCCACGCCGACGGCGACGCCGACAGCGGCGACGAGGTGAAACCCTACGTGGGCCCGATGTCCGGGGGCCTCGCCACATCGCCTGCCAGCGGGTTCTCCGCGCCCGCCGCGACGGCAGCCTTTGGCGCCGCGCTGGCCGGCCCGTTGGGCAGCGGCCAGGCCGCCGCCGCCACCGCCGTCGGCGTTTTCGTGGGCGTCGGCGTCGTGGTCGTCGTTCGAAGGTCACTACTCCAGCGCAGCATCGAGACAAGGAAAAGTCGCATACTTTATATGATTCAAATCATATGGTGCCACTCGAAACAATCTCCGGTCAGACAACGGCAAGATGCATTTGCCACGGAATCACATAATATGTATTGAGGTGGTATGAACATGAATAGATTTCGTAGGTCACAGGAGCAATCACTTGTGAAAATTATGTCTTCCAGGATTTCCAAAGGTTCGACGGTTTGCACGATTTTTTTGGCGTTCCACACAGGCTGTAGAAACCAGCGTATCTGACATTGTTCTCGTCCTAAAAGGCCTGAAGTATCGGACGTGTTCGCCGGTTTCCGGCGGTTTTCTAGCCGCGGGATGCCTTCTGGCAAGTGCGCCTCGCCGACAGCGTTCCAGCGGTGCCCAGGTCGTTCCGATTGGCCGCCCGAGGCTCGGATCATGGCCCGAAAACTACACAGGCACCGGCGTTTTTCAGAGGAGGAGGGGATACCGATATTCTGGTCGTCTTGGGGGCTTCTTGGATTCGCCTCGAGTTCTGGTCCCGGGATTAGCGGCATCGGTACTCGTCAGTCAGCATGGGCGTCGTCTGCATCGGCGTCGCCGTTTGGCCTTCGTCGTCGTCGACCTCGTGTTGGTCGTCATCTCGAGGCGCGCGGGGCAACCCACCAGGGAGCAGCCAAACAGTTGGCCAGAACCCAAGAAGAATGAATGCCCGGGAGCCCCAATCCCCTCCGTATAGCACCCAACGTAACCTCTAGAAGTATTTAGTTTTGACCCCCCCCCTTGGAGCTCTCGGCGGTGAATAGATTGGCCATCCCTCCCTCCTCCCTCCTCCCTCCTCCTCCTCCTCCTCCTCCTCCTCCTCCTCCTCCTCCTCCTCCTCCTCCTCCTCCTCCTCCTCCTCCTCTTGCTCCTCCTCTTGCTAGGGTCGCTTGCAACCCCCCTTGGCCCAGCTCGACGAATAACACAACAAAACGTCGTGCAAGCCAGCCGCATTGGCCAGGAGACACAGTGCCCTCCACTACTGCCTTTGGGCCACGGCAGGCCGAACCGACCAGTCCACCCAGTGCGGGCGTCCTGTGCCTCTGCTCCTGCTCCCTCTTGGCGATCCCCGTTCGCTGCTTCTCTGTCGGCGTGATCTTTCGCCTCGCTCACCAGGCCCCCTCCTCGCTCTTCCACCGTCCCTGCCTTCCCTCCCCTCCTCCTCGACTTGTGTTCCTCGCTCTGTTTCCTCCTCGTACGCCCACGTTATTTTGCGGGCGTGGCGACATCGAAGAAATCCATCAGGTGAAATTGAATGACGTCGTTTCACGACGCGGCGCTCGCTCTCCACAGCGCGGGCGTTTGAGACTGAATCGGTTGAGGAGGGTCGTCTCCAGTGTTTTTCCCACGCGCGCTCTCCCCACGCACCAACTTTTCGTCCCTGGGGCCAGTGGGCCCCTTCGGCGCTCCGAGCGATTTTCCTGGCCCTCAGGGGCCTCCAGGACGTCCAAAGAAGACGCAGAGAAGTAGCCAAGACATGCCAAGACGGACCAACGTGGCCAAAGAGGCCCCTAGGTCCTAGATGGCCACAACCTGGCCAGGCGAGATCCCAAGGTCCCCACGACCAGATCCAACAGGTCCCGCGAAAGGGCCTCGAGAGGCAGACTTTGATGTTCGTTCAAGAGGATTCCCCCCCCAGATACCCAAACCAGTGAAACAAGATATGGAAACCATGAGTTTTGAAACATCTTTTGCTTTCGCTTCCGAAGGGCTCCTGAGGCTTCTGGATGGCCGTCAAATCGCCCAAGCTTGCCCCAGGAGGAGCCCCACAAGGCCACAAGACGGCCCCCATAAGCGCCCCAGAGCCTTCCCATGACGATCCCAGAGGCTTCCCAGAGTGCCCCCCTCAGACGGCTTTCGAAAGCGACAGACGGGCCAAGAGCGCCCCAGAGGTGCCCGAGAGAGCCCCCAGACGGTCCACTGGAGCCCCTGGGGCCCCTCAAGCTGGCTCCCGGACGACCGAAGATGGCTTCAAGGCGGCCCTGCAGGCCGCCAGCACGCCTCGACATGGCTTCCAGACAGCCAAGACAGGTCAAGATGGCCCCCAGACGCCCCCAAGAGGCTCCCAAGAGGCCCAGAGGCCCCCAAGCCCCCAGGAAGCCCAAATCCTTCGCTTCGGCCTCCTGTGCATCCTCAGGCAGAGGCTTCCCGAGGCCAAGAAAGATCCGCTGCACTTCAGGCGTCCTGAGCGTAGCGTCTTCTTCTGGTTCTGAGGATCATCTGGAATCATACGTTTCATCAGGCACTGGACTCTTGAGTCCCAGAAGGGTTCTAAGTTCTAAGTACAGCGGCGTTTCACCCCCCCGGTCGGATGGTCGTTCGGCCTCCCAGGAGCGAGCGTGTACAGGTGCGTTGAACTCTTTGTGGGGCACGATCCGCGTGAAGGGAGTGTCGAGAAAAATCGGATGCCCCCGCGAGGCCGTAGGGAGCGCTTTGTGGGGCACGATCCGTGTGAGGCATGCGTTGAAATGGGCGGGGGGACGCCATGCGAGGTTGCCTATTTAGCCATAGTTTGGGGGGCGGTAACAAATGAGGTGGCAGCGAGGGCTGCAGAAAAGAAGGAGTCCTTGAGGACCCATAAAGGGCCATTCAGGGCCCCACAGGGAGCTTGTGGGGTCCGACAAGGGTACCTTCCTTTCCCCCCCCAATAATTCTCGCCCAAAGGGTGTGCCGAAATGGGCGGGGGGATGTTGTGCGAACCTTGTCTCTGGTGCTCCCTGTGGGGCACGATCCGTGTGAGGGCGTGCCGAAAAGGGCGGGGGAGGGGGCGTGACCCGAACGTTGTCTCTGCGGCCATACATGAAGCACACTGTGGGCACGATATTCGAGAGAGGTGTGCCAAAGCAGGCATCGGGGCGACTCCAAAGAGGGGCCAAACGCTCCGACAAAGGCCACTCACTACCAACATCGTCTCAAAGCGGCTGGTTGTGTTCTACATGTTGGTTATTCGGTGCGCAAGAGAACCAGATGATGCTGATGATGATGATGCTGATGCTGATGCTGATGATGCTGCTGATGATGATGATGATGCTGATGATGATGATGATGCTGGGACTGAGACTGAGACTGCTACTGATACTGATACTGATTATGATACTGATGATGGTGGTGGTGGTCGTGGTGATGATGATGAGGAGGAGGAACATGTGGAGGGATTGTAAGTGGAGGTCAATAATGAAGACGATGACAATGATACATATGATGATGGTGGTGGTGATGATGATGATGCAGTTGATGACGATGATGATGATGCTGACAATGATGATCATGGTGATGATGATGATGATGATGATGATGATGATGATGATGATGATGATGATGATGATGATGATTGTGATGATGATGATTATTATTGTGATGGTGATGGTGATGGTGATGATGATGCTGATGCTGATGATGATGATGCGATGGTGATGGTGATGGTATGGTGAGGATTGTGATGATGGTTAGGAGGCTGATGGTGATGCTGATGTTGATGATAATAAGAAGGGGTGAGGGAGGAGTACGGCAACAAGGGTGGCGGAAGAATTGAACGAGGGGTTCATAATGCGTCGGCGGAGGGAAGGAGGGAGAGATTCCCATCATGTCTTTTTGGGACGACTCATGCTGGAGTCGTCTTGGTATCCGTGTCGGGAACGCCCCCCCCCCCCCCAATTCTTGCAAAGTCAACCCGCATAGTAAGGATGGGCAAGCTTCCCAAGGGTACCCTTGCATCCTTGCATTCTCGGCCCATCTTTGCCCGCGTTCGTTGGCCGCCGCCCGCTCGAAACGCATCGAAATTGGCGTCCAATGTCCTTGCATCCTTATCGCGCATCCTTACTATACGGGTTGCCCGTATCTCGTGCAGGCGAGGCACGCGTGAAGGAGAAGAAGGAGGGACGAGTTAGGGAGGGCCGACCTACGAGCTGGTGCCGTGTGCGCTCGTTCGCCTTACTCCACGTTCCTCCCTCCTCACTCCTCACTCCTCCTCCTCCTCATCCTCCTACTCCTCCTCCTCCTCCCCTTCTCCTCCTCCTCCTCCTCCTCCTCCTCTTCCTCCTCCTCCTCCTTCTCCCCTCCTCCTCCTCCTCCTCCTCCTCCTCATCCTTCTCCTCCTCCTCCAAGAGGTTGGATGGAGGAGAGTGAGAGAGAGAGGGAGGGAGACAGAGACCAGGAAGGGCGCAAGAGGCAGGAGAGAAGAGCGAGAAGGGGGGGGGACAACGGGTGGAACCGAGGAGCCAGGGAGAGGAGGACGCAGAGAGGAGAGGAGACGGAGCAGGTATTGGGGAGGGCGAGTATCGGGACGAGTGCGAGTAACATGTTGAACGGGTCGATGCAGTTGCAGGGCAGCCGTGGCGAGACGCACCCATCGCATCGAGACGTTGGCCTGTGTTGCGGTGGAGCCTGCGCGCGCGAAGCGCGCGTAGTTTCAGTGCAACTTTGTGCGCTCGCATCAGTGTCCCGCCCATTCGTTGCAAGAGGTTGCATTAGTTAAACATGTGTAGAGCGGGTGGTGTTTGAAACGCGCATTCGTCTTAACAGTTTGCTTCAACCGCAAGTATGGAGGGCGGCTCCTTTTCAAATTGCGTAGGTAGCTGTAGTGCCATCCACTTTTGACGCCAGACAGTTACACCAGTCACCCGGATGGACGGCGGCGTCTTCACAACAGGTGGCACGCCTCAATGTGAAACGTCGGACAAATGAACCCATATATAGTGGTTGTATGGATGCGGATCATTTGAAATTTGGGGTTCCCGACGGATTATACATTGCAGCTCGTCGCCATTGCTGCAGCCTTGTGCAGCAGCACAAGCATGGGAACGGCCCCTGTCGGAATGGGCATCTCTCTGGGCGCCGCTGTGAGCGGTAGGGCCGTACTATGGTGCGTTCTGTGCTACAAGGAGGAGGAGGAGGAGGAGGAGG